GTGATCAAGTGGCTCTACTGTCACCCAGACGACTTCCCTAAAGCCGGAAGCCTACCGAGTAAAGCTAGAAAGAAGCTCTCAAGGTTGTTCCTGTAGTTTTTAGCTCATGTTGACCCTCTCGGTCCTTAGGGGTATAGGAGACCCAAGGAGCGCAAGTGTGTTACTGTAACCATCAGAGTCCATACACAGAATTTATTTAACCTTCGATGTTACATAAGCAGCATTTAGAACAGGGGTAGCAAACCTCCGGCCCTCCAGCTGTGGTGGAACTAGAAATACCATGAGGCATTGCAAGATTCTCACGGAGAGAGATGAATCATGGGATTAGTAGTTCACCACAGCTGGAGGGCTGGAGGTTTGCGACCCTTGGTTTAGAAGCTCCGATCAGGGTATTAAAATCATAAGAGACCTCACTGAGGGACACCTTACTTCCTATGGCAACGCTGTAGAATGCTGCAATTTGTTACTACAAGCTGTACCTTGAACCAATAGCTGGGCCGTTTTGGAAAACAAAAACTAAACCCCCCCCCTCCAGACACCCATGTAACTCAGACCTTGCTTTAAAGTCACCAAAGTATCTTCATGTCTGCATACACCAACCACATCTACTCACCGCTGTCGACCTTGACGGTGAAGGAGCCGCCGGCAGAGGATTCCCAGGCGTACTGCTCATCGTCATTGTGTTTGGTGATCACCACAACCTTCTCTGCCACCAGGTAGGCAGAGTAGAAGCCAACACCGAACTGGCCAATCATGGAGATGTCTGCTCCAGCCTAGGAGAAAGATCAGATGTGGCTTGTAGTGCGGGTACACATTGGACAGAGCCAATCACAAGACCATCAACGTTATTGGGTTACCTGCAGCGCCTCCATGAAGGCCTTGGTGCCTGACTTGGCGATGGTTCCCAGGTTGTTGATGAGGTCGGCCTTTGTCATACCAATGCCAGTATCCACAAAAGTCAGGGTACGCTCATGACGGTTGGGGATGATGTCGATTTTGAGCTCCTTTCCACTGTCCAGCTTGCTGGGGTCTGTAAGACTCTCATAGCGGATCTTGTCCAGGGCCTGAAACGAGAGACAATGGTCAGGATGCTGTGGTGGCCATTCTGCATCCAACAAAGGAGACAAGAGGCAGTACTCCCCCCAAACAGAAGGGGCAGACTACTTACATCAGAGGCATTGGAGATCAGTTCTCGCAGGAAGATCTCTTTGTTGGAGTAGAATGTGTTGATGATCAAGGACATAAGCTGAGCAATCTCAGCCTGAAACGCAAAGGTCTCCACCTCATCCTCTCCATGATTGACTTCTTCTGGCATCTGAGGAAAGAGAAACTATTGTAACAACCCAGGAAATGAGTCACCAACTTCCCAGAAGATACTCAGACCTGTGAAGGTGTGACCCAGGGAAAGAAAGTGAAAGTAGCAGTTGGAATGGAGACATCAAGAGGAACTCATCAAAACTGGACCAGAGAGAACCAGGAGCAGATGCCCATTATAACCAATCAGCTTCTCTTATTTTTCACAAAGTTTAACTAAACAAATTAAAGCAAGAAGCTGATTGGTTGCCAAGGGCAGCAGATAAAACATTTTTAAACTAACAAACACAACCTCTGGGATCTTCCATTGCCCCTCAACCAAAGCCCTCCATATTGGTGGACGTGCAAATACACTTCTATGGGGAAGGGCTGAGCAGCCAACCACAGCCAAAACCTTCTCTATTGGTGGACGTACCCAACCACAGCCCAAGCCTTCCATATTGGATTGACGTGTTTATAGACAATTGTCTATGGCGAAGGACTGAGCAGGCAACCACAGTCTTCTACATAGGGGACGTGCCCAACCACAGCCAAAGCCTTCCATTTTGGTTGACGTGCCCATAGATCTCTATGGAGGACGAGCTGAACAGACAACCAGTCAGCATTCTTCCTGTCACTAGGGGCAAGAGCTTCATTACCAGGGTCTGGGAGAGTAGACAGGTTTAGGGGGTGATGTAGGTCCCGTGTCTCCGAGCGGTCGCTTGCGAATAATCACTTTACATGTCGTTTTGGGAGTTCCTACGCGGTGCGACACTGGTACAAGTCTGGGATGGAAGCCGGATGGATATCAATTTGTAGAGAACCCTTCAGTATGAACAAATCTGCTGCCACCTCAGGGATAGCTTTGAAAGCCAAGTTATGGACCCTCCATCGCTACCCAGAGAGGACCTGTTCTGCGAGAACATCTGCCTGGGATGGTGACCACATGAAATTAAGCTGACTCATGTTCAGCAGGTAAGTAGATGATGGCTTGTGACTCATCTCTGACTCCCCCAATGTGCTCCGTCACCCAATGGATGAGCACAGCAGCCTGCATCAGTAGGCGGTCAGCCATAACAGCCCCTTCTAAAACATCTAGGAGCATGCACGCCACACAACAATGGAAGGCCAAGCATGAGCACTCCCTAACCGTCATCTTCACAAAAGGCGGCTCCTTTGTTTCCATGCCGACAGGTTCCCTTTCAGTACAGGTCGCTGCAGGGGACAGGTGTAAGCCGCATCTGAATGCTCATTGTTCTCTAATCCAGCCATCTGCTCAGCTATCCAGGTCTATCGGTGAGGACAGCTAGAGGGGGGGGGGGGGGGAGGAGGAGGGGATCCGGTGACCGAGGATGCGGCTCCCAATCTGCATACGGTGACATACGGGGGGGAGGGAATACAGCAATGGAAGATGCAGCGTCATTGTGGGATACAATGGAGGAGCAGAGTACAGAGGATGGTGAGGAGGAGATTGCTGGGTTCCTGGCACACCGTACACGACATCCTGGTAATCCTCTGCGGCAAATCATACGCAGTTTTCACACATCGCTCCGACCTACAGGCACAGCCGGTGTTTTTTTTCTGCATCCCCTTTAAATATTCCCACTTCTGGCACCAAATAAACATTACATTCCCAACCTGCAGAAAACCACCACCAGACCGCAACAAAGGGGAACATTTCCAGAAAGCTTCAGACCACCACCAATGTGCGACATCTTCCCCGTTTCACCTTGGATGCCAAACAGTTCTGAGCACACAACCGGCATGTAAAGCAGTCTACTAGCAAGCAGCCAATCACACCTGATAGCCCAGATCACTCATCAATCTG